GAGTCAGGGTTTCCTAAATTTCCCAAAACAAAATATTTAGGTGGCGACTCTGAAATCTGGCAAAGCAGTCCATGTTTGGCGCTTTTTGATTAAAATCGATTTGCCAAAACGATTTACTGGATTTGGACTCTTTGGTGATTTATCAATCTTACATTGCACTTTATAAGATTAGATTCAGAACCGTGACAGGAGTCCGAACTATAGTAGCTGGAACCCAATTTGTGCCATCGCGCGCGGAGCGGAGTTCGGGTGGTCTACAGGCCCTTACCTAAAACAACCCTTAATCTCCATGGTTCCTCTTCCTCCCATGCTAATAAGGGCCGTCTGAAGCTGAGATCCCAATTGTTATGCTGTCTAATCCTAGTCCACTGTAATTTCAAAGTGATACCTCTATCCTTTGATAAAGAGTAAAGTCTAGGGAATTGGGACTTCAAGCATATGGTTCCCATCTAATTATCAACCCAGAAACTGATTCTTTCCCCATTACCAATCTTGATTTCAACATTTCCAATAAAGTAATTGAACAAGCTGCTATTAGAATCACCAACAAATATAATGTCACTCCATACTCTTGAAATAATTGTCGCCTCCACATTGCTTCTTATCCATGGTTAAATCCTTCCATTTTACTAAATGCACTTTCCTTCTCACATCTGAATCACCCTACAGAAAGGCTGCATGAATCCTGTCTAGTTCTTTTGCCATACCTCTAGGAAGCCTAAAGAGAGACATGTAGTATACAGGTAGGGAGGAAATGACAGATTTGATTAGTGTTACTCTGCCAGCAAAAGACAGCAGCCTCCTCTTCCACTCTGACAGTTTCTTTTTGAAATTGTTCACCACAGGCTTCCGTGTGGCCCTCCTAGATGGGTTTTGCCCCTAATGGAAAACCAAGGTACTTCAATGGAAGCTTCTGATATGTATAGTTCAGCCTTGAGGCAAAATTTTTCACACACTCCTCTGACAATCCTACTCCATAAACCCCACTCTTATGAAAGTTGATCTCCAGCCCAGAAATGATCTCAAAGCATCTAAGTATTCTCTTGACAGTTAGCATTTCAGACCACTCAGCTTCACAGAAAATAATTGTGTTATCCGTGAATTGGAGATGGGAGATGTTGATGGCATTTGACCCAATGATTGCTCCTTTGACCAAGCCCAACTCTTTTGCTCTTACAAGAAGTAGGTTCAAACCCTCAGCCACCACATTAAAAAGAAAATATAATGGATCACCTTGCCTAAGCCCTTTTTGGGGGCAGAATTTAGGTGTGGGGGAACCATTAACCAACACAGAGATTCTTGCTGAGGAAATACAGGTGTGAATCCACTTCACCCATTTATCACCAAACCCAAAATTTGATAGCATATAGAGGAGATAGTTCTAATTGACTGTGTCATATGCTTTTTGGAAATCCAACTTTAAAATCAAGCCCTTTCCTCTTGATTTTTTCCACCAATCCACCATCTCATTAGCTATCAGTACACCATCCAGGATGTTCCTACCCCTAGAAATGCAAATTGAGCATCATCTATAACAACATGAAGCACTTTTTCAACCTATTAGCAAGCACTTTTGATAGAATTTTGTAAGTGGAATTTATAAGACTAATAAACCTGTAGTCTTGAATTCCTAGGGGATTGTCTTTTTAAGGGACCAATGTAATAAAGGAGCTATTTAAGCCCCCCACCAAACTACTGTTAACAAAAAACTCCTTCATAAACATGATGATATCATTCTTCATAAATTTCCACCCTTTCTTATAACAAGTCATGTTAAACCCATCCAGCCCCGGAGCCTTATTCCCATCACAGTCTGCCACTGCTGCCCAAATTTCATGTTCAGAAAATTCTACATCCAAGCTTTTGAAATGCTGGCTCTGTGTAATCACATTAAAAGGGCCCAAAAGCTTAGGTCTATATGTCCATCTCTCATAAAAAGATTAACCTGAAGTGATCATATACAGCTTCTTTAACCTCTAAAGGTTCCTTCACTAATTCGTCATTCACTGACATGGAATCAATGGCATTGGTGTTCTGCTTATTAGTAGCTATGATATGGAAAAATTTTGTATTTTTATCACCCTTAAGATTCCAGTTCAACCTTGACTTCTGTAGTCAAATTCTTTCCATTATCTTTCTGAGCTTCCACACTTCACCCCCACACCTCTCTTCGCCTTTTACCTTCAACCTCATCCAGATCTCTACTCTCAACAATTAGATCTATGGCATGCAAATTCTCTTCAGCTTGCTTCAGTTTAGAATCCATATTCCCAAACACTTCAGAGTTCCACTGCCGTAGAGATTGTTTAAGTGCCTGCAACTTAATCTTCAGTTTGTAACCTACCCATCCATCCACCTGAGTACCCTCCCACACTTCTTTCACCTGATTTAGAAAAGAGGGATGAGATGCCCAAGCATTTATGAATCTAAAAGGCTTTGGGCCCCAGTTTCTATCATCTAGAATAATTAGACAATGGTTTGAGATGGATCTAGGAAGACCCCAAAGTTTGAACCTAAACCAGACCAACCATTTTGGCGTAACAAGAAACCTGTCCAACCTGCTCCATCTTTTCCCTTCCAAAGAATTACACCAAGTAAATTTCCTTCCCAACATAGGGAAGTCAATCAGTTTCAGACAACTTACGAAATTACAAAGATCTGCCATTCTCCTATCCCTTCTTACACAACCCTTCCTTTCATCTATTGATTTGATTTCATTAAAGCCCCCCTATACACCACGATTTGGGGAAAACAGCCTTAAGATTGATCAAAGAGACCCATAAGCTTCTCCTAGCACTCACAGCATTAGGGGCATGCACATTCACAATCACACAGTCCAAGCTATTAAATAAGGTACCTGATAGTATGATGAAGCTCCTATTGCAACAGCAATCAACTAGAGAGAAGACTTCAGGCTTCCACATACATAACAGGCCTCCAGCACTCCCATCAGCATCCACATTCATGTAAGCAACTTGGTCATAAGGCCAGATAGACTTCACACACTGATCTGAAATGTTTGCCCTTTTTGTTTCTTGCAACATCACCATATCCACTTTTCTTTCTTTGATAACTGCTTTGATTCTCCTCTTCTTCTCAGGCCTACCAAGCCCTCTGATATTCCAAGAAATAAGCTTCATAAGAATTTACTATCTAATCTTGAGCAGCCGTTGATGGTGATCTAAAGCCTTGCACCATTACTCCTATCAGCAGCCTGTTCCATGTCATTCTCCTCCATTTTAGTTATTTTCCTCATAACTTCATCATCTTTGCCTTCAAAATCAATGCCCAGACTATGTCCAACTCGAATTGTAGCTTAAGCCTCTGTAACGCCCTCAAAAAAAATACAGAAAACTCGTCACTAGACATGCAATTATATAAAAGAAACCAACCATTTATATTCATCAGAGCAGTTCTTACAATAGTATTACATGTTAACAACAAAAGCAAATGCCCTAAGGGCTTACAGCTTTCCAAGTCAACACCTGGTTACACAAAAGAAGAGTATTAACTCTATACAAAATAAGCCCTTGGCTTGATATACATGTAATACAAACAAAATAAACAAAAGAGTCTTCAACTCTCATCATCATCCAAGCTATGTCCTTGGAGGTGGCATACTACCTGTACCTGAAAATGATGTCCCATAAAGGGTGAGCCACAGCCCAGCAGAAATATGCTAAACACAATATGAGCAATAACTAAGACATTACCAATTGATAAATGTTCAATTTCCATAAATCAATTCATAACCCATTTCTATTTCTTATCAATTTTACAATTTTCATCAACGGCTCAGAACCTGGCCAACCACTCATATGAGACAGTGACTCATATTAAACGTTTTCCCTTTTTACAATAGATAAACATACTAGTTGTATCAACATCTCAACAGATAAGCATACAAGCTGTATCTACATTTCAACAGATATGCATATTATCTATATCAACACTTCCAAAGATAAGCATATGAGCTGTATCAACACTTCTATAGATAAGCATATAAGCTATATCAACACATTATCTGACAAGCATATGAGCTGTATCAGTGGAGTCCATCCCCTATCTTCTCCCAAACAACATCTAGTTTAGAGGTCTATCCCCTATCTTCCCCTAAACCGTGGAGTACATCCCCTATCTCCTCCCACACACACAACACATATACACAAAGGTCATATACACAATCAATCAATACAAAACGTTAATGTATTCTATCAACCGTCATACTCTATGACATATCCAATTTATTAGTTTTAGTTTGCCTAATCATCATGCATTGTCTACAACAATCAAAACTACCCTCCACTGGTAGCCCAAGTAATTATTTCTAAACAGATAATAAAGCTCCAACAGATAAAATATCAATGTTTTCAAAAGTGAGCGATTAATAAATCTAACTCCACTATTCTACCATATAATGAACCAATTTCATCATTTCCAACTCAATTTCGTAAAATCACAATTTTCCCAAAATTAGGGTTTCTCACCCGATTTCTCAATATTGACCAAATGGTCTAAATATCAACAACCAACAACGATATCATTATTTTGAACCCACAATACACATTTTAGACCCAAAAATAACAAAATCCTCTTTTAACATTTTGAAACCCTAAGTCTCAAAATTTACCCAACTTCAACACTTTATCAAAACAACCAAAAATCTATGTCAAAGACCACAAGGATGAGTAGGAATCCCTACCTCAAAAATCAGAGCTCAAGGGAAGAAGATGAAGAAACTCAACGTGCTCCAAAACTCAATATTCTCGGATCAAAGTGTAGCCCTCGACGATCAACCCAACTTTTACAAAGGCCGAAGGGAAAGGAAGCACTCTAACTAGATCAAACCCTAGAGAGAAGGGAGTTTCTAGAGAGAGGAACTCTCAAAATGTCTTTTTAGAAAGTAAGAGAGAGAGAGAATGTAAAAAGTGAATTTAAAACGCCCAGTTGCCAATTGATATACGACATTCCCGCTCGAGCGGAGAACACAACGCTCGAGCGTCAAGAACAAAAAACTAGGTACGCTCGAGCGCAAGAAGGCCCGCTCGAGCGCCAAGACACAAGAATAAAGTACGTCCGCTCAAGCGTGGATTTCCCTCTCCCAAAACTTACACCAAGAAGTACTACCCACTCGAGCGCCAGAGTACCCGCTCGAGCGCCACCGCTCGAGCGTAATGAAATCCACTCGAGCGTGAAAAACATGCTTGCAGAAGTTCTATAGAGCACCAAAATACCGGGAGCGTGTAATCTCCGCTCGAGCGGACCTCCTAAAAACTGGGCAACAAGGAATTGAAACCAAAGCCTAACCAACCTGTAACAACTCTGCCCAATACATCCTAAAACTCGATCAAGCGGAATTAAAGGACGACAACAAGATAGATACAACTACTAACTTCACGGAACCGAGTCCGGAATACAACAAAACAGTAAAGGGATAACCAGGATCGCTATAACCTCCCCCCCTTAGAGAATTTCGTCCTCGAAATTAAACACTAGCTTTTCAAAAACAGGTTCTCTCCATTCTCAACAATATTACAACATAATATTAAACAATCCGACCTATTACCGGTCCATTCCATCTATTTCAAAAGGCATTTCACATTACACATAACAGCCTGCATTATCAATAGGCATTCCTTTGAAAATTACCAGTTTCAACCTGTTTCCCACAATTTCTTAACACATGCAACATTAATATTATGCTTGCATTTCCACAATATACTTAACATACGCAATGTTAAAACAAACTTCCATTAACCAAAACATTCACAATGTTTTACAACTTAAGACATATACAATGCTCTTAAAGTTCAACAATATTACAGAATTTCATTACAAAATTACACATCAATAAACATGTCCGGATACTTCTCACGGACTTCCAACTCACGTTCCCAAGTGGCTTCCTCCACTCCGTGATGTTTCCACAAAACCTTTACCAAGGGAATGGTCTTGCCTCGCAAGACTTGATCCCGCCTATCCAAGACCTGAACCGGTCTCTCCTCATACGAGACATCCTCACCAA